GACTTGAAAAAATTCTAGAGCGATAGCCTGAATTTAAGAGCCTGTGTATATTTTATACTGGTGCTCCTCTAAGATATTTTTCCCCCAGGGAGCTGTCAATTGTTAATTTTCGTTTTAAAAATTAATTTTGCATACTTTTGACGTGCGTCTATAGAGATGGGGGCTTAAATGTAGTTATGCAAGTCTGAACTCATGAACTTATAAACTTTCACTAGACATTTAAAAGTTTAAAAATAAAATCTATGTCTATGCACTTTGATGATGCAACCCAGCTGAACATACTTATGTAAAATACATGTAAAAAGCTTTTGAAACTGATTAAAATTTAATATTGTTATTTTATGAAAAAAATTAGCAAATATAACACTGCATGTGTAAACAGTATCATGCTGTAAATGAACTAGTATAATGTTATAAGCCATTTTTTATTAACCGAAAAATAAAAAAGTGAAAAGTGAAACACAATGACTCAGCTGAAAAAGTATGTTGCATTTTTGAAGCTAATATATTTTACGCTTTTAGATAAATATGTAAAAAAGATCATGCTTCATACTATCATACCAAGTATCGCTCCCCCCTACAAATGCCTTCTATTATAGAGGCTCATAAGGCCCCCTTTTTTATTTTTTGGAAATATAGGTTGTAATAAATGTTTTTGTTCAGGAAGAAATACCATTAAACGATTTTATTATATAATACACCTCAAAGCTCTTATTTTGATTTTCAGCCCTTTTGCCCTCCTAGGAGCCCCATTTTCAAATTTTGGATAAATGTTGGTTTGCTTCTAAAACTGACCTTATTTCCCTCCTTTCACCAACTGTGAAAGCTTATTTCGAAAATAAATGGCTTGGTTTGTTCCACTTGAAAAGTCAACTAATTTCCGATCATTGAGAATAATTACTTGGTTTGTTGATTTCCATTTAAATTTTTCATGATTAAAATTGAAGTTTCTTTTAAAAAAATTTTTATAATTATTAAAATAATCTGTTAATAAATAAATTATTATTTTATTAATTTGCAGCTATTGTGCAAGTATTAGGAAATTTATTTTGATTTATTAATGTATTTAATTTAATTCAATCATGTATCTATATGTATTGAAGGAAAAGGGTTCAAGGTACAAATTAAGAGGATCATTTTATAATTGTAATCAAGAAAATGCCATTTACTAGTGAGCTTTTTTGAAACTGTAGTGTTATGTAGCCAAACCCATGGCTACTTGAAGAATGGGTAAAGTAATGAACATTCTTTTAGGTTGCAAAATTATGGTAAAAATTTATGAATTCGCAGAGAATCTGTATGATTTATACCTTTTTCAAATTTAATGTTTCCTTTAAATAAGATGAATCGAGTGATTTTTTTTGTGGTACTTATGTATTAATGCAACCTCCATGGTGATTTGGTGATCTTTTACAAGTAAAAAGGTAAATGTTAATCAGGTGCAAGTTGCTGGCTTTCACGTACGTACGCATGTATCTCGCATAACTCAAAAACGAGTCAGAACGTTGAAATTTTGTGTATAGGACTGCTATGACATGTAGATGTGCACCTCGTACTTTGGTTGCAATCGGTCGCACCAAACGTATATATAAATATCTTATATCTATGTGGCTTAAGTGTTTGTTGCCGATACTTTGTTGGTTGCTTGCGTAACTGTAAATTGTTTTATTCCCCGTGCAGTGCAGTGCATGACGAATATTATGAGAAAGCTAAGCCGGAAAAATAAAAAATACAAGAGCACGTTCATGTAACATTTAATAAATAAATTTAACATCTGTTTGTCACCGATAGTTTATTGGTTGCTTACGTAACTGTAAATTGTTTTATTCCCCTTGCAGTGCAGCGCGTGACGAATATTATGAGAAAGCTTAGACGGAAAAAATTTAAAATACAAGAGCATGCGCATTTAACATTTAATAAATAAATTTAACATCTATATATAATAGAATTCTGAAATATGCAGCCGGCAATGATGAAAAAACAAATAAAATTAAATAAATATTTTTATTATATGAGGTTTAAGTGTCTGTTTGTCGCCGATAGTTTATTGGTTGCTTGCCTAGGGGGAAGTTGGCATGGCACAGGAATATGCCATGGCACAAATAGGGTTGCCATTTCAATTGAGACATAGACAATTTCCTGTGAAACTTGCCTTTGCTATGACCATCAATAAGTCTCACTGCAAAACTCTTAAGCATGTTGGCATTTTTTTACCTTAGCCTGCATTTGGACACGGTCAACTTTATGTTGCGTGTTCAAGAGTTCGTGAAAGAACGGACATAAATTTAAAAATAATTGATGGTCCTCTGCAAGGCGAGCTTAAAAATGATGGTGTGTGTGTGTGTGTGTGTGTGTGTGAGAGAGAGTATGGCAAAGCCTCGAGGGCTATTTGCCTAAGAGGAGGGATGCCTTCGTGGAGGACTTTCTAAGGGAAACTGGCTCGTATACACGTTACACATGGGGAAAACCACGAAAACGCCCATGCAGCCAGCCCGTTCGCGGGATTCGAACCTCGGACCGAACTACCAGTGTTCAGCGACTTTACTGCTCGGCCGCTGGTGGGCCTAAAAATGATGGAAAGATCTACACAAGAAATGTTGTGTACAAAGAGATCTTTGACATGTGAATTAACATTTTTTTATTTAAATCACCTTTATTTATTGAGCTCTTAAGAAATGTATCGCCAGTGGTTTCCTTTATTGCACATTAAGCAATTAAGCAAATAGAAGGGGAAAACCCCGTGTGGCAGTAAGCAAAGGGGCGTCTTTGCTGCCTGCCTTGGGTTATTCAGTTTGAATTAGCAGACACCTTTGCACAAATCATTTTAATTACAATTTATAAAGATATCTAGAACAGAAGTCATTTCGTATCACAGCCGGGCTTTCTAGTATTTATATATATCCACTCTGTTACCCGACTCAGGGATCTCAGTTTCTTTACTCTTATATCTTTGTAAATTGTGCATTTTTTGCTTTAAAAATGATTGAATTATGTCTTATTTTCCGGTTAAGATTTTTATGCCTTTAGGAAATCTGCAAGCAATTATTATAGAATTATCAACAATTTAAAAGATGTTTAAGTGCGGTTCAGCCTAATTTTTAAATAACATGCCAGACATATTTGTTTACATTTGAAACAGCGGAATAGATTTGTTGCCAATCTAGAGGGACTAAGCTTCGCAACAACAAAGATAATGCCTTCATTTATTATTGCGAATTAAATCATGCTCAATCCTTCTTGAATTTTTTGAGGAAATAAGTGTTTACTTCAAAATTTTTAATATAGATATTTTGAGTTTTTATGTATTTTTGCCTTGTCGCAAAGTGAGAACTGAATCAATTGAATGAGAAATACTGAATAGTCTGTGAAAAACTTTCTTTTTTGTTTTGTTTGCTTAATTTCTTTTATGCATAGTTCTAGCTTGATTATAGTGTTTGAATAGAACATGTTTCAAAGATTAAATAATTCTTCAAATGATATAAATTTTGTGCATTCTGAGTTATAATATGAACGAAATATAATGGTGTTAAGTGAATCTAGCGCCAGAGTGTCGCTATGGTAAACAAGTATAGTGAATTTTAAAGAGTGCATGTATTCTACTGTGGTTTATGTGCTATTGACAAAAGTAGATTTAATTAAATCCAGTAAGTTTAAATGAAATGCAAGAAAAATGCATATAATTTAATATTCCGTACAAGGAAGTCATGTGGTGTACACATCAGATTTTTTTTTTTTTTTTAAAGATTCCCAAACTATCAATGTTTATCAAAGTTGATAAGCTTTATAAACATATGAAAAGAAAACATACTTTAGTAATTTTAAATACAAATTTGAATTATTAAATAAGGATTACATGATTCAATAAAAAAATTAATCTTCAAATTTTCCAGTAATTTTTGTGCGTTGTTTTTCTTTCAAAATACACAGCAATCTGTTTTTGCTTTAAAAAAAAAAGTATTGTGGTTTCGTTGCCAGCAACAAGAGGTAAGAAATGCATTTCCTTGTTGTTCCTTTTAGAAATTTTTGGCAAAATTCTGGATTCGTGCAGAAATTTTAGGGCTGTTTCTTCCACTGCAGGAAAATTCCATAAACTCATATCTTAAACTAAGTTTGAGGCAAAAAATATCAGGATTTGTTTACAAAAACCATTGGGACTTTGCATACAACAAAAGAGAATGCACGCTAGGAAGGTGGGAGAAATACCTTATAACATTAATATTGGAAGTTACTTTTTTTTCCCCTGAATTCAATTAATACATTCATTGTCAACTAAATGAAATCCATGAACCTCAGTCAGTAATCCAGGCTATTTTCATGTTTTTAATTCTTAAATACATTATATGACAGCACATGATTTCTTGTGCAGGAAGGTACTTAATGGTAGCGTATTATAGATGCAGTTGCATCAAAATTTGCACATGTAATTTCCTAAATTCTGTATGTTACATATGAAATGTGCAAATCATTATAGTGTTATTTTTTCTGTAAAATTTATTCATATTCTAAGAATTATATTAATTTCATGTTAATGAAATTTTACCACAGTGTGAAAAGGTATTTAATGAAGATAATTTGGCTTTTACTAATAATTCTTTACTTTAATAATTTTGGTTGCTTAATAAATTATTTGAACTTATAAAGCCTGTTTTTAAAGAATCTTTCATTTAAAAAAAAATAAGTTATTTGTATACATTTAGGAAAACAAATGATTTTTCAACTTGATGGATACTTTAAAATATTTATTCAACTCTAAATGCCATAAAGGGGATTAGGCTGACATCGTGTATCTGGCATTGTAAAATTGATTAAGTAATTTGACTAAGTAAATGCAAGCATGTTAAGTAATGCAACTGAAATATAATGACTGAAGCCAAGTAATAATCAGTATATTTTCTTGTATAATGTACGGAAGTGCAAGTTAAGAAGGTAGTGCATATTAAGGCTTTGTTATGTATTTTTTTTATTAAGATTTGTTTTTTATATTTATTTTTTTTTTCCAGTCCTTGAAAAACAGAGCTATCAAAGTTAGTTTAGCTGGAGAACACGGTAATTAATTATTTCTGTCATTTATGTTTATGTCTTTAGTATAAATTTAATTTATTGCAATGTGCTTAATTATTAAAGTAGTTACTGAATTTTTTTCATTTTTTTCATATTTTTCGCTCTTTTAATTTTGTATGTTTTATATATATTTTGATACTATATTAATAAATTTGAAGCATGCAAAGGCTGAGTGGAGCATTTGTAATGCTATCCTCCAGGTTCACTCCCAGTTGCAGATCTAACTAGTTACTGATATTTTCTGATTTTTCTTAGTCTGAATTAGAGATGAGCAAATCGCCCTTTTTCGGGATTAGATTAGAATCATTTGCTCACTGAATTGGTTCAGTTCTGTATTACTACTCATTCCTCAGTAACAGCAACTTTCATGAATAAAACCAGGAATGGGGACTGAATCAAGAGTGATGTGCAAGAATGTCGCAAAAGGCAGAAAGAATCCAGTGAAGTAGGATCAGCAGATTTTGGTAGCATTCTCCTGGATTGATTTCTTTGAATTTTTTTCAAATTTTTGTATGTAGAACTAGAATAAATTTCTGGAATAGAAAAGTTTAAAAAGTTCGCAGATGATAAAAATCAATTTCACCTTTTGTTAAAACATCCTTTCTCCCATAAAATGAGAATCACACTTTATTGACATGCTTAGAACAAGAGCTCTTGGTTGGTGAACTGTTAAAGATCTATTGCTCTATTTTGCTGAATTCTGACATTCGCTGCTTCGATAAAATGATTTAGTTCTTAGAATTCATGAATGGATTGCCCATCTCTAGTGCACACTGTGAGAAAATAAGCTAGTTTTATTTAGAATCTTCTGTGTAAAGGTTTTTTTCATCCCAGACAATTTGGATGCTTTTATATAATTTATCAATCAACTATCACCAATAGATTGTTACTAACAAAGATAAAAAATATTTGATTTATTTTTAAGTTTCAGTGTAGAAATGAAGGCTGCAATAATTTGAAAAATGCTAGTTGTACTTAAACAACCTAGTAAAAATAAAAATTGGTGTAGAGGAAGATAGACGTGTTTTCTCAAATCCTGTTAAAACTGATATGTTCATGATCATACCACGTTGTAAAATATTAAGAGCTAGGATGTAGAATTAATGGTGCTTTGTAATTCATTACAATTGATGTTTGTGTGAAACACCTCTTCTCTCATCTTACTGTTAGAGCTGCCATATGCATATTCTTTAAATTTCCTCTTTCTTAGCTAAAATATCCTTTAATTTTATGCATATTCTTGGTAGGTAATTCTGGCAGTTGATTACAAATAGTAACATTCTTAATTTATTGACAATTATAATTTTTTTTTTTTTTCATGTTGTTGCAAAACTAGTAGTTATTTTATACTGTGAATATTTATTTCTGGATACTTTCAGCAAAAATAGAGTTACAAAATTTTAAATTGTTAAATAGAATCCAAGAGTTATATTAAAGTAATACATTAGAATTTTTGAAAGTACTGTAAATAAGTATAATTTTAATGCAAAGTACTTTGCCTTGGCATCCTCTGTTTTTAAAATGGGAATGCAAATTTTATTTTTCCATTAAAATTTTAAAAGTGCATTGAATTTTTATAAGAAATTTGAATACGGTGATGAAACTGATGGCTTCAGAATTTCTTATTTTTCATTGCGAGTGGTTTGAATGTATCTTCTCATCAGTCATTAAAATGTATTTTATAGGTTATAAATTCATTATAAATTTTATAGGTTAGAAATGTATTTTATAGGTTATATTTTATAAGTGCTTATGTTTTATTAGAAAACTAGTTGGACTAAAATGTATAATTGATGCTTTCCTTTTTATATTTCAGAAAAATAATCATTGCAAGCATTAATGAACAGATGTTTAAATTTGAAATATATTTTGCAATAATCTTTATATTTACACCAGACAGAAAATTTATTCTGAACAGAAACTGTATTAAATTATTTAATTAACCACTGTTACAGTAATAGTTCACTGTGGTGTTAATTTTTCCAAAGTTTGATGAAATTCTAATGTAATCTTATTCATATTAATTGAGATGTTTGTGCTTCTTTTGACTTGCTATTTTAGGGACTTTCATAGGTATCAGTATTTGTGAAGTCTGAAGGCTTTGTTGGAATGGAAATTTGACCGAGCTAGTTGGAATACACATTGAACTAGCTAATGACAATTTGGGCCCAATGCAGTTTGTGGTTTTTGTTTTGGAAAATTGATTTGCCCACAACTGTATTGAATTAGCCACATACTGAATAAATTGCTGAAACTTTTCATCTTAAATCAGAATGTTCTTTTCTTGGTTTAACCCTTTGCAGCACAGTGTGTCTGGTCTGGACACACCTAAAAATTTCCTTCTGTACACACAGAAAAATTGAGTTTAAAAGGGTTTATAGGTTACTCTGAATCTTCTTTATTTATAGTAGATGGCAGCTCAACACAAACCAGTCCAGATATTTTAGTCATGTTTAGTTTTTAAGACCCTAATTTTTCAAAATCTTCTAGTTTTTTTAGAGTATAAAAGGAATTGTTTGAAAATAAATTTCTATGTTATTTTTTTGGCTGTATGCTAATCTCCTTATTCTATATTAGTTTTAAATTTTTACCTTGAAATCTTGTCTAAAATCAAACGGCGAACCCTAGGTGTGCCCAGACCGGGCTCACCGATAATCTAGGACAACTGAGAGTCTGTATTTTTTGTTTCTCCGCATCTCATCGGTCAGTTCATTGACAACAATGCTCGTTTCACTACTCTTTTTGAAGCTCTATTCAATCAGTGTGCCCACTTTGGGGCACACTGATTGAATTCTGTGGGTGTGCCCAAAGTGGGCACACCCACAGAATTAAATAATAAGTGCTATCTTCACAAAATTTTACTTCTGTACTCCTTAGGCCTAATTAGAGTGCCTACCTTTTTTTTTTTTTTTTTTTTCCCCCATCAAGACTCCGAATTTAAAAGATAGCATGACGGAAAGGGTTAAGTGCATATCAAATGCTAGAAAGAGTCCCAATTAAGGGTTTTTGAAATAACTTCAATGTGATCTTCAATTTGTACCACATGTTGTACATGGTCTTCGTTGAAAGTTTCACATGGCCTATGTTGTACTCTCCATGCATTAACCATCGCTGTAAAAATGACTTATCATATATGAATATGAAATATGACTTATCATGCAAGATGAATTTCAGTCTTGTGCTATCTAGTCATCTACGTTTTTTATTTGTATGCTTCTGTTAATTTTGATGTTTTCCATGCTATGCTTCATATGCCCATGAAATAAAATTCCTTGTGCAGTATTCATTCTGAAAATGGAATGTATGGTCTAACTGTGATGTATTTTTATCAGTATGACTTGGAATTTGGACACTTTATTTGACAGTCTCTGATGATCCCAATCATTGATAACTTTTTTGACACAGTTTGTGCATAAAGTTAACGGGATCTGTGCTTTCATTTATTGTCCAAAAATCACACCTCTTACATTGTGTGAGAAGGAAAATTTAGCTAATTTATAAAAATTATTTTGATTCTGCATTTCTTTTGAAACGGCGAAGATCAATTGCTCATATTTGCTATTTCGTAATATCTTTCTTGTGGTCGGCATACAATGGAAAAAAAAGCGGAGTACAGTTCGATATCTCCCGTTCTACTGGGCCAATTTATGAAATTCAAATTGCGTTTCTTATATTTCAAAAGCACAGTTTAAGATATATACTAGATTTTTATATAGCACTGTTCTAACACAGGTATTTTACACAAAATTAGACTTTTTCTAAAATAACATGGCAATTTTTTTTCCATATTTTGATTATACAACTCAAATTATCCCTAAATGTTAAATTTTGTAAAATTTGGTGCGAAATTTACAGAGAAATTCAAAATTTTATCTTGCCACATTTTTTTCAGTTTGCACCAAGAATAGTTCACTTGCCGAATTTCTTTTAATATATGGCAATCTGTTTTCCTTTTCCTTTTTACATTGTGCATGAGTGGAAAAAAAGTTACATCGTTCCTACTTTAAAAAAATGTGCTTAATATTATATTTTTTAATTGTTATTGTTTTAAATAATTTTTTTCTTTTTTGAATTTCATATAAATTCTATAAGTTGAATGGTTTCTTTCAAATAACGGTTTTGAAAATTTCTATTTACTCATTCAAACTTCATAGTTTAAATAAAAGTTGCAGTGTTTATTTTTTCAAATAATTTTTTTTATACTATATTTTTTAGTCATGGTTGTTATTATTTAAATTTTTAGACTTTTATTTTAATTGCTTGTGTTCATTGTCTCTTCCGATAATTGTTTTAAAATTTTCTATTTATTCATTTGAATTGTGCATTTTAAATATATTTAGTAATATAAATTTTCCAGAATTTGGTTTTATATGTATTTGAATTGCATTTCTTTTGAAAGAATACTTTGTGATTCAGACTATAGCACATTTGAAAATTGCATATATTAAAAGAGAAAATACAGTAAAGCACAGTTAACATACCTTTCAATAGGCTGTTCAGAAAACATATATAAATAAGAGAGATTGACATTTTTACTTAGGATGACTTGCATACATTGCTTTAAGCAGTTTTATCATAGTGCCCATTGCTTTACACAATTTTATCTTTCTACATCTAGTTTGTTAATGCTTTGTGGAACGCTACCTTTTAAAGTTGGAATTTTGTCAAAAAAGAAAAGGTAGGCAGGCATACAGGAATACACAGGTAAAATGTTGTGAAGATAGCAGCACTTATTGTTTTAATTCTGTGGGCGGGCACACTGAATGAATAGATCTTTGAAAAGAGTGTTGAAATGAGCATTGCTGGGAAGCATGCAAAAGAGTAAAAGGTTTTACCTACGATTAAAAAACACTAGATTCTGAATACTGTAGCAGATTTAGCATTACCCAGGGTGTGCCACGAGACCTGCTACTCTACACCCCCCCCCAAAAAAGCTCTTCTTGGTTGTATGATGATTACATGCATATAAATGAAAAAAAATAACT